CATGATTTCTTGCTTTCTCTCTCTGTCTCTCTCTATCTTTCTGGCTAGCACACGAGCCCTACAGCAAAAACCTCTCAAAAAGAGGGAGAGAGAGAGAGAGAGAGAGAGAGAGAGACTTATCCTTGAGCACTGCTTCATTTATTTTATTATATATAATTTTAGTTTCCTATAAGATGCATATGCTCACCAGAGGAGGGTAGACAGAGAAAGAAAGTGAGAAAGCAACACCCGCCCCCCCCAGAAGGATGAGAATGTTACATTCCCTTCTCAAGTTTTCTCTTGGGATTTTGGGCATGCAGGCACATATACCCAATGTGTTTTGCAAGCCATGGGATCCAGGACCTGAAATGAGCAGTCGGCCATGGGGGAATCTAGCTATCTTAACCATCATGCCACCAGTTGGCCCAAGCACATGTTTCAATTCTTAGTCCCTGGGTAACTGGCTCTTTTCCCTCCACATTTAGCCCAATGTCTGGTGGCCACACCCCCAGTAGAGTTCTGGGCAAGTGTTCAGAAAATTGCTCTTGGCGATGACAGTCGGCAGGTTGATGTGATGGTACCTGGTTCCTTCTTTATCTGTGATGACTCTTTCCTGGGGGGCTTATCTGAATTACTCACTCTTCTCTCATTCTCCCACTTACGTAGCAATTCTTTAATTCAATTTTTTATTTTGAGATAATGCAGATTCACATACAATTATGAGAAATAATACAATGAAATTCTGTGAGCCATTTACTTGGTTCTCTGGGTAGTAACATCTTGCAAAACTAGCACAATGTCACAGCCAGGATACTGAGGGAGACACAGTCAGGATACAGAACATTTGAATTGCCACAAGAATCCCTCATGCTGCCCCTTTATACCTCCCCATCACTCTGACTTCCGGTACCCATTACCACTTTTTTTTTCATTTTTTTAAATCTATAACTCCATCATTTCAAAAATATTCTATCAGTGGAGAGGCTAGGTGGTGATGCGGTTAAACAACATTCTGCAAGGCAGACCCACATGGGAAAGTTCTAGACTTACATTCAGAGACTTCCCTGAGTACACCAGGTACCTGTATGTCTGTGATCTGGGGCTGGTTGAGGCTGGGGGTAGATAATGGTGTCAAGACCCTATGGGGTTCTCTCTCTCTCTCTCTCCCTTCTTCGCTCATGGAATAAATATTTTTTTAACAGAATATTGTATTGGTACAGTCCAGCAGCATGTGATTTTTTGTAATTGGCTTTTTCTGCTCTGTATAATTTCCTAATTCTCTGGTGATTCATTGACGTTGTTTTGTTTATTGCTGAGTAGTGTTCCTTGGTATAGATGTACCACGGCTTGTTCACTATTCACTTAGTCAAGGACGTCTGGGTGGCTTCCAGGTTTTGACTATTATGAATAACCCATTCTTTGATAGGTTTCTGTGGACAGAAGTCTTCAATTCTCTGCAACAAGTGCTCAGGAGTACAATTGCTGGGTTGAATGGTGGTCTCGTGTTTAGTTTTATAAAAAATTGCCAGGTGTTTTCTAGAGTGTTTATACCATCTTGCATTTTCACTGGCAATGTAGGAGTGATTCAGCTGTTCCTCATCTCCACAGAAAGCAAGCTTTTCATTAACACCCTACCTGATCACTGGGGAGGACACCGGGACATGTGGGAAAGAGGAGGAGGCTCAACTTGAGGATTGTTTCCTCTAAGAGTCTGTTCAGCCCTGAGAAAATTAGCTTCTCTCCAACTTGTTTCCTGCATTTCTCTGGACATGACCAGACACACCTGAAGGAAGCCTCAGCAGTGGTAAGCCGAGCTCCTGGGCTCCATCTACAGTTCTGTCTGTGTTGAGATGTTCAGGGATTTTATTTAGCCCCTCCAAAAGAATCGCCCGTTTTTGTTTTCTGGCTTTTGGTCGGAGGGCATGGGTACTCACCAGAGAGACAGGGAGACAGAGAGAGAGGAAGAGGAGAGGAAAAAGCACCTTTTGTGAGGAAAGGTCACACCACAATCCCTTCTCCTCAATTTCTCTCCCTTTTCAGGATATTGGGCCCACATGCACCTGGCCTATTTTTTAAGCTGCCTGGTTTGGAACTTGAACCTTGTCGTCAGCCATATGAGATCCAGCTTCCTTGGCCACCAAGCCACTGGCTGGCTCAAGAACTATTCCTTTCTGTATCGCCTCCTAAAAGGAGGCTTTAGAGGTTATGTGAACCTGACCCACCCATGCAACACGAAGAAGACCCTTTACAGTGTTGAGACGATCCAATCTCCTCTCTTGGTGTCTACTTTTGTTCTGGGTACAGTAGATAAGACAGGCAAGGCTCCTTCTCTGCTGACTCTTCCATTACACGAAGGAAACATAGACCATCAAGAAGCAAAGTGATTTCAGAGGGTGCTAAACACTACCGAGGTCAAACACAGGGTAACGGGATAGAGAATGGGAGAGTGGACAACTCTCTAAGGAGTTGAGCTGTCAGGTATCAGAATTCTGTTCTTCTTTTCAAAGTTCCTTGTATCCATTTCTTTTCTTTTCTTTTCTTTTTTCTTTTCTTTTCTTTTTCTTTCTTTCTTTCTTTCTTTCTTTCTTTCTTTCTTTCTTTCTTTCTTTCTTTCTTTCTTTCCTTCTTTCCTTCTTTCTTTCTTTCTTTTTTTTTTTTTGGAGATATTTTTTGCTATAGGGTGTATGTGCTTGCCAGAAAGACAGAGAGAGACAGAGAGACAGAAAGCAAGAAATCACCCCCCAGGGGGATGGCCATGTCACAATTCCTTCTCCTCCATTCTCCTCTCAGGATCTTGGGCACACATGCATATGTGCCTGGCATGAGTTTAAGCCACCAGGTCCAGGACTCAAACCACAGTCGACTACATGGAAGTCCAGTGACATAGCCATTACTCCAACTGCTGGTTCCCTGTATGTCCATTTCTTTCACTATTTTTTATATGCTATGTTTTCTGATCCCAAGATAATGATGGTTGACCTTTGTTATCTACAATTTCTTTTATTTACTAGAGATCCCTTTATAATTTGATCCTTTGAATTAAAACCATTACTCTGAATATGGAATTTACACAGAAGACACAGTGAAAATACTTTCATTTTTAATTTGGATATCGTGTTCCTATAAATGTAACCAAAGACTGCAACAACCCTTTGGCAGTCCCTGGTAGGTTCTTCGTTGTTCCATGAGTTAATATTTCCAGGTCCTTTTCAAGTGAACACTGAAGTTGAACCTCCCTCATTCTGCACTAGTCCAAATGACTTTTTGTTGTTGTTTGTTTGTTTGCTATAAGGTGCATGTTCTAGACAGAGAAGACAGTGAGAGAGAAAGAGAGAGAGAAGAAAAGTAAGAAAGCACCCCCATAGGGGATTGGCTATTCTGTAATCCCTTCTCCATTCTCTTCTCAGGATTTTGGGCATGTATACACATGTACTTGTGCACAGCATGTTTTTGAAGTTCCCAGGATCGGGACCCAACTGCGCTGTTGGCCATGTGGGATTCAGCCTCCTGCCTTAACCTCCATGTTGCCTGCTGACCCTGGTCCAAATGACTTCTAAAATTGTGTGGTTTATGGGATACACACCAAATTTTGCTTTGTTAGCTTCAGTCTGCTGAGTGCTTCTGCCACTCAAGTCTATCATATAACACGTTAGGCAGCCTTCCCAGCTTCAGGTCATCTGCGAGTGTGAGAACATGCACTCCCAAGATAAACTATATTTGAGTGTTGAAGAAGACAGGGCTGAGCCATACCTCTCCTTCAGACTAACATAGCCCCCTTCCATCTCTTGGGCATAGTTGCTTAGTGAGTTAGGAAGCTACCTTGTGTTGCTTCATCATGCACATGAGAGTGTTATGAGAGCTTTGGCAAAGTGTTTTGTTCAGATAGAGCTGTGCTATTTTACCAGTGTGATAAATCCATCCAAAAAAGCAAATGAAGTTCCTTCTTTATTTTTTTTTATCAATGGTGTAGTGTGTGCACACTTGCATGAGAAAGAGTGAAAGAATGAGAGAGGCAGAGAGAAAGGAGCACCTTCACAGGGTCGGTCATACCATGACCCCTTTCTCCTGTCCTCCATCCCCTAAGACTTAGGGCACTTTGCATGGTGTGTGCCAGGCTGACTGACCCAGGGATTCCAATCGCATTCACCATGTGAGATCCAGCTGCTCAGGAGCAGCCCTTCATTGCTGCATCATGAGCTGGCCCTGATGGGGCTTTTTGCTACAAGGTGTGTGTGCTTGCCAGAGAGAGAGAGAGAGATAGAAAGTGAGAAATCACCCCCCAAAGAGAGAGAGAGAAAGAGAGAGAGAGAGAGAGAGAGAGAGAGAGAGAGAGAGAGAGAAGACCCCCCAGGGGAGAGG